TACTGTATTTTAGTGCTAAACTATTTTTTGTTTTATACACTAGCAAACGTATTTTAAAGTCTATTCTCTGAGCTGCAGGGAGCCAGTGTAGGGACTGGGTGATGTGCTCCAACTTCCTGGTTTTAGTCAGAACACCAGCAGCAGCGTTCTGGATCAGCTGCAGCTGTCTGACATTATATCTGTGAAGACGCTGTGGTAGTAATTAATGCAACTAAAAACAAAAGCATGGATGAGTTTCTCTAGACCTCTTTGGGATACAAGTCTTTAAATATCAGAAATGTTCTTCAGGCTGGCTTTGTAATTGTCTTCATGCTTCTCTCAAAGTTCAGGTCCATCACTACACCCACATTTCAGACCTTAAAGTTGCAGGTCGACTCTTGGGCGTTCCTCTTTAGATCCAAATATAATTACTTCTGTTTTGTTTCTGCTTAGGTGAGAAAAGTTATTCCATATCCACACTTTGATTTGTTCTATGAATGTGCCCAGCGCTTCAATGATTTATAAGTCATGATATAGAGCTGTGTATCATCTGCAAAGTTAATATTAGCACTGGCACTGCTTGAGTGCACTATGGTTCATTATGGCATGAAGAGAGTGAAGCCATTTCAGAATGTGGGTTCACTGAGCTAGCTTTAGCTTCAGTAGCTACCTTAGCTTTGCTAGTGTTTAGCTATTGAGAAAACAAGACACGCTTGTTTTTAGGAATATTTTAGGTGGCTTAGTGGTAAGATGGTGAAGGAAAGCGCTCATCTTACGGGAATATTGATAATTGAACGACTCATTGGAATGAAGTTTGAATCATTAATAGCATCAGCTGCAGCTTTGTCCAAGAACAGCTTCGCTTGGAACAGTTGTAAGCATCAACAATGAAAAGCACAATCAAATACACATAAAAAAAACACTTAAGTTGTTTATCTAATTTTCCTCTGCCCAGACACAGCATAATAGTTAAGGGAATTTCCAAGGAACGTGAGAAGCTTAGTGTGGCTAAAGGAGATTACCCTAATAGTGGCGCTGGCAGGAATACCAGCTGCAGCTACAATCATCTTCTCAGCTCCAGGCTGCTCTCCTGCTGTGGAAACAAAGGCAGATATCTTGTAGTTAGCACCATATTGTTTTGTTGAAATGATTATCTCGTATCATCTGATGCTCACATGAATCGTCCCTGGTGCTTCATTCACATGCTCTAAGTTCAACCTTCTGTGTTTCCCTGAATTTTGTCACAAGGGAACATCAGGATAATTTAGTTTTATATTTTGTTCATCAAATTAGAATAGTTCATGTCTGCATATTTAAGCATCTTTAAATATATTTTCTGCAGCATCCTTAGGCCATATATTAATATAATATTTTATATGAGAGCTATTTCCTGTAGTTTGTCTGTTTTTGTGTTTCTTGCAGATGTGCATCAACTGATAGGGATTAAAGAGGAGGAAAAGTGGAAATCAGACCAGGAGGACCAGAAGCCTCCACAGTTTAAAGAGGAACAGGAGGAGAATGACATCACTGAGTTAATATTCGATCCTGTGAAAAGTGAAGATGAGGAAGAGAAACCTGAGCTCCCAGAACTTCATCACAGCCAAACCAAGGAAAACGGAGACCTTGTTGGACCAGAACCAGATCAACATTTAGAATCAGATGGTGAAGATGAAACTTCTGATTCTTGCTCGGAGTCCTCAGAGACGGACGTCAGTGATGGAAACTGGGAAGAAAGCAGTAAAGCTCAGTCAGGTTTGGGGTCTGGAACCAATAACACAGGTCCAGTTTGTGAGAAAGGTAAAAAGTTACATCGCTGCTCTGAGTGCAGTAAAACGTTCATCTGCAGACAGCATTTGTTAGAACACAACAGGATCCACACTGGAGAAAAACCATTTAGTTGCTCCATCTGTGACAAAAGCTTTATTTCAAAAGGAAAACTAAATAAACACAAAATTACACACAGTAGGGAAAGGCCTTACCCCTGCTCAGTCTGCAGTCGAAGTTTCAAGTACAGGTCAAATCTATCTGCTCACATGAGCTGTCACTCTGAAGAAAAACCTTATTGCTGTTCTGTCTGTAAGGCGGCTTTCCACAGAAAATATAGTTTTGAGATGCACACAATGACCCACACTGGAGAAAAACCTTTCAGTTGCTCTGTCTGTAAGGTGGCTTTTCTGAGGAAAAACAGTTTAGTGGAGCACACAAAAACCCATACTGGAGAAAAACCTTTCAGTTGCTCTGTATGTAATGTGGCTTTTGCAAGGAAAAGCAGTTTAGTGGAACATACAAGACTCCATACTGGAGAAAAACCTTTCAGCTGTTCTGTTTGTAAGGCGGCTTTCTACAGGAAACGCGGTTTAGTGAGCCACACAAGAAACCACACTGGAGAGAAACCTTACAGTTGCTCCATCTGTAGCAGAGCTTTTAATACTCAGGGAAACCTACAAAAACATCAAATCATGCACACAGAGAAAAGACCTTACATATGTTCTGTGTGTAATGCAGGATTCAAAACTAAAAGACATTTAGGAGAACACACAAAAACCCACTCAAATGAATCCCCTCACTGCTGCTCGCTCTGTGGCCAACGCTTCAAGTGTAAGTCCTATCTTTCTACTCACATGAGCCGTCATAAAGGAGAAAAACGACACAGTTGCTCTGTCTGTAAAGCAGAGTTTCTGTTCAAAAACAGTTTAGTGTTGCACACAAGAATCCACACTGGAGAGAAACCTTACAGCTGTTCTGTCTGTAAGGCAACATTCAAGTGGAGACACACATTCAGGAACCACATGAGAACCCACACTGGAGAGAAACCTTACAGCTGCTCTGTCTGTAAGGCAACGTTCAAGTGGAGACACACGTTCAGGAACCACACAAGAATATGTGTAAAGGCCAGCTGAGTAAAGTTTGTCGTGACCGAGTGTTCATTGTAACTGCTCTTAAGGTTATATGCTTTTATTTTGGTAATTTTGCCCAGGTTCCTATTGAAAATGAGGTTTTACCTTAAAGGAAATTAAAGAAAGTTCTTGTTAAAGTAACCATGGTAACGGAACACAGTTCTACCTGAAAAGGTTAAACGCAAAACAGAAAAAGGACAAAAGGAAACTAAATTTTTTGTTTCAGTCGATAAGGAACAATGTCAGTAACTTTGAATAATTTGAGATGTTTAAAGAAAAATCTGTAATTATTGTGTTAATGGAAATAATTCTGCTAATGAGTTATTCATAACAAGAGACAGAGAAATGATTGTGAACATTATTTGTTCTTTTCTAGCCTTTGTGTTGGTTGATGAATGGCTGCAATAAATAACTTAACCATCAGTTCTGGCCTCACGATTGACTGGATGCTATATTATGACTATTCTCTGAATTTAATTTCACGGCAGTTTATTCTTGTAATTTTGTTTTTGCTTAGAGTGGGTCTACAACTCTGTTGTACCATGTTGGCTTCCACATATTTTAAAATAAATCTTTATTGCCACAATAGAAAGAGCAAAGTCAGAGAGGAGACATTAGAGGCCAGCAGCCGGATGATGATTCAGGGTCTCCTCAGGTAAGGAAAGATTATAACTCTCTGAGAAAAAGATAAAGATCTAGCACAGGGAGTATATAATGTAGTCTACATTTAGACACTTTTTGAATCTTTTTTTTTTCCTGTTCTCATTTGAACGCTGCATTAATTATTGCATTATAAAGGCAGCACATATAGGCTATTCAGTGGTAATCTTAATTTTGCTTTTGTTTATTTTCATGGTGTCACTTTCTGTGATGTGTCTAATTACCCTGTTTGTCACTTCTATTTCATTTTGTGTGCCAAACTGCAGTGATGATACTGCATTACTTGGTAATGTGCAACTAAACCAACCCCATGATTTTGTAATGAGTAATCTAACACGTTAATATTTTTAATGCTGTAATTACCTTAAGTCACTGTGCGTTACTATTTTTGTCGTTTTACCATAGTAAATAACAGATACGTTACTTTCATCTTGAATATAGTTATATGCAGTTGTTATGTAAGCTTAAAGTGCGGCTCAAATCGAGCTTTTATTTTGAAGCTCAATGTAACCCGACGAATAGCGGAAGTAGTTGTCTCCTTGCATTAAACGTTAGGCGAAGAATGGGCCTGTTCAGTCGGTTGTCGGAGGCGCCAACGTGTAAGATGATTTTTGTACTTTATTCTTAATTTCCTTCCAGTAGAGTTAGCTTAGCCTGATATCTAGACGCCGACAGGAAAACAGTGAGTCAGAGACAGTTTGATCTAGAACAGACTGTTTATGTTTAAGGAGAGAAACGTTTCTGTTGTGATTTTGTGAAAACCTCAGAAAGCCTCAGCGTTGGAGGAAAGGCAACTGCCAAAGATGGCGGATTTAAAACATGGTGAGCAGCTGCACTCTGTTTGGTGATTATCTTCTGGTAAACCCGTTCTTTAATATTTCACTAACAACGGTGCTGGGACTTGAGCAACTTACAGTAATATAATTCCTCTCTGCAAGGCGAATATCCATCCCTCACTTTTTGACCATAAGCTGAAGCATGTTGTGCAACAACAAGGTGTGGTTTGGCTATGAATAACTGAATAATTGTTTAGAGCTATTTTTAATAAAACAAAAATTTTAAATCAAAACTACCAAGTTGGAGTGCAACCTGAATATCAGGAAAATAATAGACAAAGTTCACACTGAATTACTGTCTATATTAAGAATCTTTATCAAACTGTGGTCCGCGGGCGTCCCCTAGTGGTCCGCAGGGTACTGCATGTAAAAGACCGTTCATTTGCCGTGACGTCAGCTCAAAGGTTTACGCTATAGCTAGCATACCAATGATTATGAACAAAAATGACAATGGATAAGTGGGTAACTCAAAAGAAAATCTGAAGAAACTTGTGAATATACCAGAATTAATTATATGATCAGAGGAATGTAAAATAGACCTGCTAATAGGCCTGTCACGATAACAAATTTTGCTGAGCGATTGTCTAAAAATTATTGCGATAAACGATAATACTGTTTCAAGACCT